CTGTCATGGCATGTCACTAAAGTTAATCTGTCATGGCATGTCACTAAAGTTAATCTGTCATGGCATGTCACTATAGTTAATCTGCCATGCATGTGACTATAGTTAATCTGTCATGGCATGTCACTATCGTTAATCTGTCATGCATGTCACTATAGTTAATCTGTCATGGCATGTCACTATCGTTAATCTGTCATGGCATGTCACTATAGTTATCTGCCATGCATGTCACTATAGTAAATCTGTCATGGCATGTCACTATAGTTAATCTGTCATGGCATGTTACTATAGTTAATCTGTCATGGCATGTCACTATAGTTAATCTGTCATGGCATGTCACTATAGTTAGTCTGTCATGGCATATCACTATAGTTAATCTATCATGCATGTCACTATAGTTAATCTGTCATACATGTCACTATAGTTAATCTGTCATGGCATGTCACTTTAGTTAATCTGCCATGGCATGTCACTATAGTTAATATGTCATGGCATGTCACTATAGTTAATCTGCCATGCATGTCACTATAGTTAATCTGTCATGACATGTCACTATAGTTAATCTGTCATGCATGTCACTATAGTTAATCTGTCATGGCATGTCACTAAAGTTAATCTGTCATGGCAGGTCACTATAGTTAATCTGCCATGCATGTGACTACAGTTAATCTGTCATGGCATGTCACGATAGTTAATCTGTCATGGCATGACACTATAGTTAATCTGCCATGGCATGTCACTATAGTTATTCTGCCATCCATGTCACTATAGTTAATCTGTCATGACATGTCACTATAGTTAATCTGTCATGGCATGTCACGATAGTTAATCTGTCATGGCATGTCACTATAGTTAATCTGTCATGACATGTCACTATAGTTAATCTGCCATGCATGTCACTTTAGTTAATCTGTCATGACATGTCACTATGGTTAATCTGTCATGCATGTCACTATAGTTAATCTGTCATGCATGTCACTATAGTTAATCTGTCATGCATGTCACTATAGTTAATCTGTCATGGCATGTCACTAAAGTTAATCTGTCATGGCAGGTCACTATAGTTAATCTGCCATGCATGTGACTACAGTTAATCTGTCATGGCATGTCACGATAGTTAATCTGTCATGGCATAACACTATAGTTAATCTGCCATGGCATGTCACTATAGTTATTCTGCCATCCATGTCACTATAGTTAATCTGTCATGACATGTCACTATAGTTAATCTGTCATGGCATGTCACGATAGTTAATCTGTCATGGCATGTCACTATAGTTAATCTGTCATGACATGTCACTATAGTTAATCTGCCATGCATGTCACTTTAGTTAATCTGTCATGACATGTCACTATGGTTAATCTGTCATGCATGTCACTATAGTTAATCTGTCATGGCATGTCACTAAAGTTAATCTGTCATGGCATGTCACTAAAGTTAATCTGTCATGGCATGTCACTATAGTTAATCTGTCATGACATGTCACTATAGTTAATCTGCCATGCATGTGACTATAGTTAATCTGTCATGGCATGTCACTATAGTTAATCTGTCATGCATGTCACTATAGTTAATCTGTCATGGCATGTCACTAAAGTTAATCTGTCATGGCATGTCACTATAGTTAATCTGCCATGCATGTGACTATAGTTAATCTGTCATGGCATGTCACGATAGTTAATCTGTCATGACATGTCACTATAGTTAATCTGTCATGGCATGTCACGATAGTTAATCTGCCATGCATGTCACTATAGTTAATCTGTCATGACATGTCACTATAGTTAGTCTGTCATGCATGTCACTATAGTTAATCTGTCATGGCATGTCACTATCGTTAATCTGTCATGCATGTCACTATAGTTAATCTGTCATGCATGTCACTATAGTTAATCTGTCATGGCATGTCACTAAAGTTAATCTGTCATGGCATGTCACTAAAGTTAATCTGTCATGGCATGTCACTATAGTTAATCTGCCATGCATGTGACTAAAGTTAATCTGTCATGGCATGTGACTATAGTTAATCTGTCATGGCATGTCACTATAGTTAATCTGTCATGGCATGTCACTATCGTTAATCTGTCATGGCATGTCACTATAGTTATCTGCCATGCATGTCACTATAGCAAATCTGTCATGCATGTCACTATAGTTAATCTGTCATGGCATGTTACTATAGTTAATCTGTCATGGCATGTCACTATAGTTAATCTGTCATGGCATGTCACTATAGTTATTCTGTCATGGCATGTCACTATAGTTAATCTGTCATGGCATGTCACTAAAGTTAATCTGTCATGCATGTCACTATAGTTAATCTGCCATGGCATGTCACTATAGTTAATCTGTCATGCATGTCACTATAGTTAATCTGTCATAGCATTGAGTTTGTTATGACCGTAGTTTACTGAATAGAATATGGCAGACTCATGTGTTCCTTAACTTGTTTTGAGCAGTATATGTAAATAAAGAGTAAATTTATTCTGTTTATCAAATTTATGGCAACAAAAGCACAACACATCGATACTTGATTGGAGGGTGGAAGAATAATGAGACTGCAGGTTTCCCGGGTGAAGCTAGATTTGATTAATCACTTCATAAATGACCTTCGCTCTGTCACATAAAACCCCTGTTCAAAGCTTGTCAGAATGAATGCTGCATCCATCAAGTGCCAGGTTAAAACTTATGACACTTATGTGTGCAATTAAGGTAATAAAAAACATCTTCAACATTTACGATATCTCTAGCATCATTTTCGGTCTTGAGGGACCAGTATTTACCTCTGACCTATTACATTAACTTCAATAATTGCATCAACTGTTGCTCTGTTACACAGAGGAGCTATGTTCAGGAGTAGTAACCAGGAAGATTCAAAACTCCTCATGAAAACACCAGTAAATTGTGGCTGACAATGTCCCTAAGAAAGATGCGCAGTTTAATCTAAGAGAACCTTACAATTTGTTTTTCAAGGGCTGTAATTATTTTTGAAATAAACTGCCGACCTGTCGTTTTGAATGGCATCAATTCTTATGATGATCTTTTCTTTCAAGAAAGGGCTCTCCTCCGATGCGACAACTAATTAGTTTAAATCTTGTGAATAGGTATTCACGTTACTGCAGGTTCAGTTCTTTCAAAGTCGTAGCAGCTATTCACCTGTTGCTGAGAGCTTCTATTCATCAGTGGCTCCCCCTAGTGTTTATCGAAAGATAGATCATTCATCCATTCATGTTGCTAACATTTAATGGTGTTCTTATTGTCAGTCACATCTTAACGGTTACCATGGAGAGAGGTCGTAATACACCTGTGGGATGATGCTTATGCGTTCAATCTCCGTCCATTTATTTTCAACCGGTTGAATGGGCATTGTTGAAATGACATGCTCGCCAGCACTTTCCTCCCCTCTTTCTCTCATTCATCCGATTCTTCTTTCTTCTCTCGTTTGTGTTTGATTTCATTGGCCATTGTGATTCCGTTCACCCCTCCGTCAAAACGTTCAGTTATCAATCTTTTCGGAATTAATTTCGCTTCTCCGATTCTTTTATTTGAATTGGAGAGACTCTTGTCCCTCCCATTGCCGCACTTTGAAATCTTTATTTGTATTTCGGATTTATTTCAGACAATAAGAAAAACAAGAACGTCTGATTTCACTGATGTCTTGTTTTGCCGAATTCATGGGTTTGTTTCATTGTAGTTTGGGCCATTGGTGAAAGATAGGGATGTAGTTTATGAGTAATTTTTTAACCATTAAAAGTTTTTTTAAAAAGCAATCAGCATGTGAATTGAAACGGGAAACAGCCCGGGCTTTGGTATCTGTGAAGTACGACATGATGTTTTTGTGTCTGTTTATGGTGCGATTGTGTGATGACATGACTGCCGTCCTGCATTCATTTCAATACATGCAGCTCTTGAACTATCTTGTTTGTAATGACTAGGGTTGGGATGTGTCCAAATTTACTATCCGGGTACCCACCACCCTATTACCTGACCCTACCCGGGTACCCGCTGTAGATATTTAGAGATAGGCACAAACTGTCTGATTTGGAAAAGTTTGACCTTAGCCCTGGCAAAATGTATTTAGATACACGTGTAAAACGATCTGGTCATGCATACACTGAAGTTGACTGCATGAAGTTTTATCTTTATTCAAACATAAAAAAGTCAGAAGGAATGGGTGCATTGTCTGAAAGAAATGGGAACATTAGTGACTTATAGTGTAACCATAGAGTTTGAGATAATGTTTGTCATTAAACAATATATCACGTGACTAACCACGACTCCGGGTAGTCCTGTGGGTACCCGGGTCCTACTTAGGACCCACCCGACCCGAGTACCCGAGTTACCCGTCCCAGCCTTAGTAATGATATATATATCGAAAGGTCCCTGAGATCTTTGTCTGTTGTCCTTTTTGGTTTATTCGTTGGAACAATTGTTTTTAGTGTGAAACTGCGACATTATATATATAATTATGATTATCCTTACCTCAATCATATTAGATGTTTCAATCGGCCAGGGAACTGAACCACCAACTTTCCGATCTCCGGGCAGACACTTTTAACCACTATGATACAGAGGCTGCCATTCTTTTCTTTTACAAACTGATCAGTGAAGACGGAGTTAGTACAACAATTACTTATTAGAAACATACAAAGTTGTTGTACTTAGTTGTACGCTGTTGTACTGAGTTGTACGCTGTTGTACTTAGTTGTATGCTGCTGTACTGAGTTGTATGCTGTTGTACTGAGTTGTACGCTGTTGTACTGAGTTGTACGCTGTTGTACTTAGTTGTATGCTGCTGTAATGAGTTGTATGCTAGTGTACTGCTTGATGTCTTGTTGAGTGTGATGTGACTAATTTTGACATTTCGGCTGTGTGGCTGCAAGGGTCATGATTGTAGTGTGGGTAGCCTCCCCTTGTCCCTGCTGGGGAGTCCAGGGTCCTGATTGACTTGATCTTGTCGTAAGGGGGATTGGCTGGTCACAATGTGTGGATAGTCCATTGAATGGTAACCACATGGGAAGATCAGGTCGCAGTCGTTGTAGCTCACCCCTCCCACAATCACACCTCACCCCTCCCACAATCACCCCTTACCCTCTACCTCAATCATCCCTCACCCCTCCCTCAATCACCCCTTACCCTCTACCTCAATCACACCTCACCCCTCCCTCAATCACACCTTACCCTCTACCTCGATCACTCCTCACCCCTCCCTCAATCACCCTTCACCCCTCCCTCAATCACCCTTCACCCCTCCCTCTTCACCCCTCACCCCTCCCTCAACCACCCCTCCCTCAATCACCCTTCACCCCTCCTCAATCACCCTTCACCCCTCCCTCAATCACCCTTCACCCCTCTCTCAATCACCCCACACCCCAACCTCCTCACCCCTCCCTCAATCACCCCACACCCAAACCTCCTCACCCCTCCCTCAATCACCCCACACACCAACCTCCTCACCCCTCCCTCAATCACCCCACACCCAAACCTCCTCATCCCTCCCTCAATCACCCCACACCCAAACCTCCTCACCCCTCCCTCAATCACCCCACACCCCAACCTCCTCACCCCTCCCTCAATCACCCCACACACCAACCTCCTCACCCTCCCTCCTCACCCCTCAACCCTCCCTCCTCACCCCTCCCTCAATCACCCCTCCCTCAATCACCCCTCACCCCTCCCTCCTCACCCCTCCCTCAATCACCCCTCCCTCAATCACCCCTCACCCCTCCCTCCTCACCCCTCCCTCAATCACCCCTCCCTCAATCACCCCTCACCCCTGCCTCCTCACCCCTCCCTCCTCACCCCTCCCTCAATCACCCCTCACCCCTCCCTCCTCACCCCTCCCTCCTCACCCCTTACCCCTCCCTCAATCACCCCTCACCCCTATCTCAATCACCCCTCACCCTTATCTCAATCACCCCTCACCCTTCCCTCAATTACCCCTCACCCCTCCCTCAATCACCCCTCACCCCTCCCTCCTCACCCCTCACCCCTCCCTCAATCACCCCTCACCCCTCACCCCTCCCTCCTCACCCCTCACCCCCTAACTAAAGTCACCCCGCACCCTCTTGCCCCAGCCTTGTGTAAAAGAAAGGCGTCAGGAACACAGAAATGAATCGGGTGACATACAAACATGAACACATCCCAAATCCCTGTTTTATTTCAAGTATGTGGATATTTTTTTTAAGATAACAGAAATATGAGTTTACCGTGTTCGAAGCACCCGGTGACTACAATGAAACTGCCACCAACCACACCATGCTGTAGGTGCTAAGAAACAGACAACCACTTGTTCTGTCAAGAAAAAAATAGACGCTTTCAGTAATGGATAGCCTTTGTAATTGAAATGAACTGTTTACTGAAGCATGTTCTCCTGCGTCCACTTCAGTTGTTGTGTTTATCTTGTCTTCACATAAGCACCGACTGTGTCTATCCAAGTTTGTAGGCGCTGCCGTCAACACAGGACAACAGTGGGTCACTACCTGCACGTCCATGTCAGAGGGAGGGACTGTCATACTGACAAGATACTAACAAGATGTTGACATATATTGACAAGATATTGATGTCTTTGTTTTTCATGTATTAGGACTTGATTATTGGAAACAATCTCACCACAAACCTCCCTTGTAACAATTTCACCACATCCCTACCCTTGAAACAATTTCACCACATCCCTACCCTTGAAACAATCTCACCACAACCCTACCCTTGAAACAATTTCACCACATCCCTACCCTTGAAACAAATTCACCACATCCCTACCCTTGAAACAATCTCACCACAACCCTACCCTTGAAACAATATCACCACAACACTACCCTTGAAACAATTTCACCACAACCCTACCCTTGAAACAATCTCACCACAACACTACCCTTGAAACAATTTCACCACAACCCTACCCTTGAAACAACCTCACCACAACCCTACCCTTGAAACAATATCACCACATCCCTACCCTTGAAACAACCTCACCACAACACAACCCTTGAAATTGCATGGTTTGATATCAAACCTGATTGAATGGAAACTTTCTTACAAGACTTTCACCAGTTTAATGAGAGATGACACAAGTAAATAGTACCTAATGTCTCATATTCTCATATTCAAGTTAAAAACTAATCATTATTTAAAAAAATGATATTTCCTTGTACATTTGAAAGAGTTATAAACCTGATTACCCGCTGGACCAGGCAACCTTGTGGGCTGAGTCGGTCAGACCAGCATGACATCAATACCAACAGCAATCGACATCCTGCGTCAATTTCATTTCACCCATTTCCACTGGTAATTGTAAAACGATTAGTCTATGTCAATTTGTGGTCACACTGCGGCTAAACTTAGCACTCCTTGGCCTCCATGTTTAAAGGGAGAGCTTTCACGCATGAGAGCACAAGAGATGCTTCTTTGAAACACCGACTTTCTATATCTGTATGTGTGTGATTTATGGCTGGTCAAAGTGAAAAAATAGAAGGGCACTGATTTGTGTGAGAAAGGGTTATATGATATTGGGGTGGTGGTCACTTGGTCAAATGGAGTTGAAGACAATGGAGGCGAGGAACACGTGGGGGTAGTTAGTCAACGTGAAACTGACGTTTCATGAAATGTACATTGACAGGGTCACGTGGCCATGCCTTTATTGACAGTGTAGCGAATGAATAAAGTTTAAAGTAATCCTAACTTCAAAAGTTGTTTCTGATACGATAAAGGGCTTGATCATTATATGAATACTGACATTGTACTCTTAGAGATATTAATATATTGAGCGATTTATATAGACAATATAAGCATCATCCAAATGTATATTCAAATGATAAACTATCAAGAAACTGATAAATGTTTGAGTTTTGTGAAAGGGTTTGGTGTGAACAATTTTAACTAATAATATACCAACAAAAATTTAAGTTTTGTGAAATGGGTTTTGTCATTAATAACACTGAACACCTTCAGTGGGAAAAGGTATGAACAATTTATACTAATAATATACCGACAAAAATTAAAGTTTTGTGAAATGGGTTTTGTCATTAACAACATTGATCACCTTAAGTGTGATTTGGTGTGAACAATTGAAGAAATATCTACTAACAAGATCAAAGAATAAACTACTTATCTTGTGTGTTTTATTTCAGAAAGACAGCATGACGATACTGACAAACAACTATCTTGCACGATTCCCTCCACTGCGACCCCCTCGACTGAAGACCTCAGATACCGACACAGCTTTCTATAGCTCAGCGTGTCTAACCTCGAGATCACGGGTGATTCATCAGCGGCATACTGCTTTCTGATTGGCTGATGACTTGGTAAACAGTTGGCGGGTGGATGACGGACCGCCGTGACACTAGGTACGCTACACCTTGCCCCCCTCCACATGTTGAGCTGTTTAGTCTCGAGGGGTTGAAAAACTTGATAAACATAACCATATTGAAATTCGGCTTACCATGGCACAGTGTTCGTGCAAATTTATCACGCTCATTTCCGGTCATTTTGATGAGGTGAAGTGTGTAGGTCTTCTTAGCATAATACCATACACAGAGCCTCTGGGAAACTTTTATCTGCCGTGAGAGCCCCGAGTTTTCCTTTAGGGAAATTTCTCAATGAGACTGTGAAGGATTTGGACACATATAAAAGCTCAGTCGAAATGGAAAATGTCGTAAAAGAGGCGTTTATGACGTGTCACAATTTCTTCATTTCCAAATGATTTTTTTTATGAGTGTTTTTGCTGGTGTTGTTATTTATGAATATTCATAAGAGTGCATTTATGAGGGGATCTGCTTCCTATGAAAAGATGAGATTGTGATTCATGTTCTGTTTGCTCAGATAACCGTGAATCACATGCTTTTCACGACAGAGGTCTATTATGTACCATCATGTTCTAATTATCTGTATTACAATATACAGGATGTTTGGAAGAAATACCTCATAATAGAGGCCTCAGAAATGCTTGTTTGGATAACTATAACTATTAGGTATTCTAGTTCTACAAACACTTGGCATTTGTATATTTTTTTGCAAATTATTCTTTTTTTAAAAATTATTCTCCACGATTTTGTTTCTTTATATTTAAAAAAAATTGCTGAATTATATGTGTCATCTCAGTAATTGGGATAAGTACCTTATTAATAATACTTTAATTTACAATTGTTGAACTACCTTGTAATTTACCTTTTATGTTTATTGAGTGCAAAAATGTGAATCATAACTATTACATATTGAAGCAGTTTAAACTATTACTTGCTATGAATCACGTTATCTATAGTTATGTAGCTTCAGATTTTTACTGCGAGTGAAACGCATCATAACAAACCCAGTTATGTCAGGTGACAGTTATATTTATTCATGAATCACTGAATACCTTTTTTAAAAAATATAATGACTCAATATTGTCATGTTGTGATGTTGTGCAATTTTGTCATTTGTACTGACAATATTTTTCAAAATCCTGTAGCGTAGGCTGAACGTACTACGTATGTAAGTTGTCAGTTTTGCTAAGACAGTCGGTTTAAATAGAGGCTCCGGGTTAGTTTTTAAGCATCACTGGTTTTATTTGTCGCCCATGGCAGTACTACGGATATGTCATGGTACTTACTGGAGTTTGGAGATATGGAAATAGACTCCGCGAGGGACGGTGGCCTGGCATAATGTTCATAATGACCCACATACTGAATGTTTTACTGAGGCGCCCATCCTTAAACAGATTCCCATCTGTAATGTGAAGGTTGTCTTAGGTAACTAGCGTCATTGTGCGTGGTTATATTGTATCGGTGAGATATGGCTCCAGTTACTGTCATACAGACGTTTATGGGGGTTTACCTGCGATCGTGTTTCGCTGGTGATGAGATGAAATTATATGCTTAATGCGCAGTACTGTGATTGTCCCGTACATCGGGTGCTTCACAGCCTCGGACAGACAGACAGACATTGTAGGAGCTGATACTGCACATGACACACTTAACACTACACATGACACATGACACATGACATGATACATGGCACACTACACAGGACACACTACACAGGACACAGGACACACTACACATGACACACTAAACACTACACATGACATGACACATGTCATGACAGGACACACTACACATGACACCACTACACACAACACATGACGACACAGGACACACTACAGAGGACACATTACACACTACACATGACACAATACACATGACACAATACACACAACACATGACATGACACAGGACACACTACACAGGACACACTACACATGACACAATACACACAACACATGACAGGACACATGACACAACACATGACATGATACATGGCACACTACACATGACACACAACACATGACAGGACACAGGGAACACTACACACTACACATGACACAATACACCACACATGACACACAACACATGACACACTACACATGACACAATACACCACACATGACACACAACACATGACACACAACACATGACACAATACACCACACATGACACACAACACACTACACATGACACACTACACATGACACACAATACACTACACATCACACACTACACATGACATATCACACACTACACATCACACACTACACATCACACACTACACATCACACACTTCACACTACACATCACACACTACACATCACAAACTACACATCACACACTACACATCACACACTACACATCACACACTACACATCACACACTACACTCGACATATATGTACAGAAATACACATAATCACATATCATTTAAACAAAATATTAGTTAGCTCTTCATATACTTATTACAATAGTATAACACAAAAGACTGCATCACTGACACATCAAGCTAAAGGTTCCCTCTCCACACACCGCACCTGGCACCTGGCATACCCTATGTATCACCAGTTTGCAGAATCACTTTAATGCAATGACCACACACTGCCACATTTATTTCCCTATATTATCATAATGCTTTGAGGGCTGATGAATATGTATGTAACACCAGGGAGGTACCAGGAGAGTGTGAGGGGAATAAGCTAATTAGGACGGACAGGTGTGAATCCAGGTGAGTCAGACAAGACTCGTCATCAAGACATATGATTCATATTTTTATGAAGCTTTGCGGCCCACTCACTACTCACAAAGTACAC